GCCTTTAGTAGGTTGTAAATGGGTGTACAAGATCAAAACTCAATCTAATGATTCTGTGGAGCATTACAAGGCTCATTTGGTTACTAAAGGATTTACTCAAGAATATGGGATTGATTATGAGGAAACCTTTGCATTTGTTGCTCGTTTTACTTAGTTTAATTGCTATTGTTGTTGCAAAAGGATGAAAACTATTTCATACGGATGTGAAAAATGCATTTCTAAATGGTGATCTTGTAGAGGAAGTTTACATGAAACCACCTTCTAGACTTGAGCATCCTTTAAACAAAGTCTGTCGATTGAAGCGAGCTCTGTATGGTTTGAAGCAAGCTCCCCAAGCCTGGTTTGCCAAGTTTAGTACCACCATAGGTGAATTTGGTTTTACTTCTAGTCTTCATGACACTACGCTGTTCATACACAAGACTAATCATGACATGGTTCTACTCCTTCTTTATGTTGATGATATGATCATTATTGGGGATGATATTTCAAGTATTGATGATCTTAAGTAATTTCTCAATCATAAGTTCGAGATGAAAGATTTTGGTGTTTTGAGCTATTTCTTGGGACTTAAGGTCACCTCTTCTGATGGTGTTATCTTTTCTCCCAAACCAAATATGCTTTTGATCCTATATCTAAAGCTAGACTCACTGACAATAAGATTGCATCTACTCCTCTTGAGCCAAATCTTCAACTTACACCCATGGATGGTTCTCTATTAGCTGATTGTACTCACTATAGATAGTTGGTCGGAAGTTTAATTTATCTCATTACAACACAACCAAATATAGCTTATGTAGTTCATGTTGTTAGCCAGTTTATGGCTACACCTCACTCCACTCACTATGTAATAGTATTTTGCATTATTCACTAGATTAAAGGTATCATTTTTCATGGACTTCACCTTTTTGGTCATTCATCTCTTGAACTTCGTGCTTACTTTGACGCTAATTAGGCTAAAGACTTTAATGATCATAAATCCATCACTGGATATTGTCTTCTTCTTAGTGATTCTTTAATCTCTTGGTGTAACATGAAGTAGACAGTCCAATCATGTTCTAGCATAGAGACCGAATAGTGAGCACTTAGAGACACCACATCAAAGTCACTTAAATTACGTTGGATACTAGAAGTTATGAGTCCTTAACTTCCTACTACTAATTTATATTGTGACAATCAAAGTGTCATGCAAATTGCTCATAATGATGTCTTCTATGAATGCACTAAACACACTTAAGTCGACTATCACTTTGTTTGCCATCCTGTTGCATAAAGAATTGTTCATTTGGTTTTCATTAGCTGTGCTGATCAATCAACAAATCTTTTCACCAAGACTCATTTTTCTAGACATTTTCGTATTCTTGTTTCCAAACTCAAGTTAACTTGAGTTTGAGGGGATATTAACATGTGAACACAATAATTCAAATCATATTCATACTTAGATATTAAGATGTGAACACAATAATTTAAAGATGTGAACACAATAATTTAAATCATATTCATACTTAGATATTAAGATGTAAACACAATAATTTAAATCATATTCATACTTAGATATTAAGACGTGAACACAATAATTTAAATCATATTTATACTTATATATTAAGATGTGAACACAATAATTTAGATTATATTCACCTTTATTGTAAATATTTTATATCTTAAAGTATTCTCTTTATATACTCTCATACCTTAGAATATTCTCTTTATAAATACTTATATATAGATAATTACACATATAAATAAACATTTCTTCAAATATTTCTTTTTCTTTTTTGTTTCTAACAAATTTAATAAAATTAGACTACATATTATACCCTACATATTTAATAATTATAATTGAACCGTTGTGATTTTTCATTTTCTCCTACAATAATCTATCTTCATTTTGATTTTACATTTCTATTTGAACTAATTGCCTCTCTGATGATATTAAAGAATGGAGTGCTCATACAGAGGGGGGTGCCGATACGCCATATATGTGCCTCTTCTATTTGGGATATTCCTCAAATAAAAAGAAAGTATTTTTCAGGTGCACATGCACTAATGTCCAAGAATAGATATAGCTTTTTAACTAGAGGAAGTAGGCAGCTGAGGCTATTAAAAAAGAGAGAAAGAAATGGAAAGGTTACGTATTAAACCATGCTCCGGTGGGTAAGGAGTGGACACACAACCACCTCCCTACCCTGGAATCTACGTCAAGATGACCTTATTGAATTTATGTTTTTTTATTGACATTAAATTTATGTGTTACAAAAATAATTTAATTGAATTAGGGTTTTTTTTATTTTTTAAAAATAACTATCAAATATTAATTTTAATTAAATATTTTAAATTATAAATAAAAATAATTATTAATTATTAAATATTAATTATCAATTATCAATTGTATGAAAAAATAATTCAAAATAACTCTTTAAACTCTTCAAAATAAGGCATCCCATTCCCGTGATAACCTTCTGTTTCTCCAAAAATTCTCACGCGGCAAGACTTTATTATTTATGGACCTCTACTTAAACACATGACATTTTTAAATTAAATGTTGTTTATGGTGTAAACACCCATAAACCACAAATCTTACTATAAAGTATAAACCCATATTGAAATTTTTATATAGTTTAAAGACACGTGACTAAATTGTATCTTAATGGTAAAATAAAATAAATAAAAAAAGAAGGGGATAGGAGTACAAAAGAGGGAAAACCTTGTTTTGTAGGTGAGCATGTTTGGTGAGGAACCAATCTCCTTCAATCTATTGAAAGTGAGTCTTGGTTTGAACGTTCAATCATGGCTGTGCTCAAGTGGAGTCAAGAAATGAAAGGGATGGAAATTAGTTAAAAACAATGTATATATTTGATTAGGAATAATTGCATTATTGATGACTAAGCATAACATTTGAAAAAAAAACAAAAAAACAAAATACCGTTTAAAAATTTTAATCAGAAAATGTAAACGGTGTTTCTCCACTTTTCCTTTTGGGAAGTTTGATTAAAGGGTTTTTTTAATTTATGTCATTTCACACAAGTTAAAAACATAATAAATGTATGTTTAATTATTAATATTAATTTTATTATAAATAATATTTTAATAAATTTATTTTTGATAATTGATAAATTTAAAATTAATTTTTCATTTATAAATATAATTTTATAATAAAAAAAATTTATTGCATCTTTAAGTTGTATAATAAAGGAAAAAAAAGTTTGTTTTAAGAGGAGTGCTAGGAGCACTCGCTCCAACACTCTCCCTTTAGCAATCGCTCCCTTGTTTTGCCACGTCACTTATACATTTAAATAGTTGATGGGCAACCTGTTTACACTTTTGGCCTCAACCACATCAGTACTTCAGTAGTCTATTTTTATTTATTTAAAAATTAATATTTGAGGATATATTCCTATTTCCCCTCGCAGCCATCTCC